AACAACGGAGTTAAGTTTTCTTAAGATGGGCTCTCAAACAGGACAGGGTAAGAAAACGGGCTGGGACTGAAGCAGCCACCCTGATTTCCCCAAGGCACTTCAACAGTCTGCACCACACTAGAACTCAGTGGTTCCAAAGGGCTCCCAAGCACCAAACCAAGCATTTCATCTTCCTAAGCAGGCCCTTACAGGTGCCACAAAGCACTTCCGAGACCCGCCAGTTAAGACCGTCTCCCTTTCCCAGAGCCCCCGGCATGACTTTTAGAAACAGTGACAAGAGCAATTCTGACAACTTAACAAGCACTAACAAAAAACATTGTCTGTGATTCACTTTTATTTGCATGGCTGTGACCATGAAAAGAAATGTAGTAAAAAGTACATTCACTGGAAGTCAGCATTTTCATTAGGATAATCATTGTGTGAGCCTGTTCTCAATTATCACCAATTCTAAGCCAAAGACACCTTTTAAAGTAAAAAAAGTTTCAATCATTTAAATTAGACTTCTGCACAGTGAGAAAACGTAAACAAAAGAATGAACAGCCTGGAGGAGGACATGTCAACAGCTGAAATAACCAAGATAGAAAAAATATGGAACAAAAGAAATTGAGTCAAGGCCAGCAATGCTCTCTATTGCACTTTAAAGGATTTTCCACTTTCTCATTAGTGCTTCTCTGTGGTACTAACACAACAAGTTAAAACTTATCAAAGCATCATTCTGAATTTATCCACGAAAACTACAGAGTTCCACCCTTGCAACGTGGTCACCTCAGAATGGCAAGCATCTTGTTAAGCAGCTACCTTCTCAGCTCCAGCTCCATCTTTAATTTCCCCCATTTCATACTTCTGCCAGCATGTCAGAAGAACTACCAGGGAACAGGGAAAACATGGCATTAACTACCGCTGCCCTTCAATTAGCATAAGCGGGGTTACAAGGCTTCCAAGGAAAAGTGTGATATGGATAAAGTCTTCAAAAAACACATTTTGACACAAAAATTAATGGTCATGACTGTAAGGTCCTGCCTTAACACACTTGCACAATTCAAGTCAAAGTTGAGCATTGTGTCTACTGAACATAGCGGTTCCTATTTATACTGGCAGCCAACCACCAGCCATCGCCCTAGAAAACCACCTTCGAGGCTCTCTTCGTACACGCCTCCTCTTCACACAGAGGTAACCTGCCAGGCCGCCGCCGGAGCGTTAATTACCAGCACTTCGTCAGGCTGGTGTCCAGGGAACCGTGTTCTCAAGGAATTCAGAGAAAGTCACGTGGAGCTTTCTCCGCGTGGTTAACTGACACAGTCCTGAATTCACGGGTTTCTACACTAAAACTCCTTTTCCATAAAGTTATACCAGCAAACTCCACCAGGAAGTTCAGTATAGTTTAAAATGGTCACAAAAATTGAAGGAACTATATCAGCATGAGACTTCTTGTTTTTAATAACTGTACCACAAGAGAGCTCCTGCTAAGACAGGGACCTTGGTAAAGATTATGGGGGTTCGGGGGTTTTTTTTGTTTGGGTTTTTCTTGTGGGTTTTTGTTTGTTGGGTTTTTTCTTAATTTTATATCCCTTATGTATTTACTTGTATCTGCAGAAATGTATAGATTAGAGTTACTTAAAAAAAACTTTAGAAATGGTTCTCTCCCTCATACCAACCTGCTAACACAGGTTGTACCTAATGAAATTAACACAACAGAAGTAAAAGCACACCACTTGATTATGAGCAAGGTTTCTTTCCATACATTCATACATGAAAATCAACACCAGGTGGCAAGACAGAAATATAGATAATGCTTTTACGATATGCATTAAAGACTATTTTGTAGCAGCTTCTTTAGCACTCAAGTGTCAAGAATATCGGTTTATTTCCTCTTCAGCATTTGTTTAAAAGACTTGGGGATGTGATATGTGAAGATACTAAACCTTACTAACAACCTGAAAGGATAAGAAGAGAAAAACAAATGAAAGAGACTTTTCAATAAACCCAAGCAACTTAATGTGTAACTTTGCTTATAAAGATAAAATCCCTAATACAAACCGAACCCACAATACCACAAATACAGCAAAAGCCTTTTTTTCAAATCACACTTAATTTAACAGTAAGCTCCCAATTTAGATTAACATGAAACTGTTCAAAGGCCAAAGAGGTGAATCAATGGGTCTCAGGGCTGGCAGATGCTGATAAAAAGATTAAGAGATGGAAACATAAATGGATGTCTGCATCACTACACCAAAAATTTTGACCAAACAACTGTGTGTAGCTGGGTGGATTTTTCACCTCCTGACAAACCAAAGAAATATGCATAAGTGAAAAGCAGTCATGTGTTATCATCAGCTTAAGTAACTGAGAAGTGTCTCTTCAGATCAAATGTCAAAAGCAATACTTACATAGTAAATAGTAAAAACAAAATTTGACTATCCCTGATGTAGTTTTGAGAGTTTCATGATTTCTTGTAAAACTTGTCACAGAGCAATAACACTTCCCTTTAACAACCCAATAAATAGTTCTGAGCAGCTGTCTAACATTGTCTAATATTGACTCAGACCAAACAGAACAGAAGAAAAAAAAAAGGCAAAGCACCAGATTCACAGCAGTACTGAAAAATCCACAAGTCCTAGTTCATCAGTATCCCTGAAAGTCAGTCTCAAAACGCTTTTTGAAACTACATAAACTCAGCAATTTTCTTTAATTTCTAATACAATAGTTCATAGAATTCCTATATGGCAGACGAACATCACAGAAGTTCATTTTTAAAAGGTAACCATTTAAAAAGCAACCTCATGAGCGCCGTAACCTAGCTACAATTAAATGCCAGTGTTTTAAAAGTTACTATCACCACAAGACCTGAGAATCTTTTTCCCCCCAGCCACGTACTGCAAGACAAAATTGTCCCTTGTGAACTTTCACGTCTTTCTTCGCTCATTGATACGCAGGAAAACACAGGTCCCGGGGAGAGTCTGGAGACAAAAGTCAGTAGGCCCTGATGTTAAAACCAGCTCTTTATCCCTTTTGGTACTTGGGAGAAGATACAAATGTATAGCAACAGGAGAGCTCTCATCACTGGCAGCGCCCTATCGTCTATACCTTTTGTGGGGCCCAGTATATAATAGCACGCTTCAGCTCACAGGGTAACAGGCGTGGATAAGAGCAGCATTAGAGTGCTGCTGGTCACGTTAATCATAGATATTGATTGAACACTGAATGCTTTTTCAGTTGGTCTGACAAATTGGAATGGCTTCAGCAACCCCTCGCTCAAATGGGTGTTCTGTCTCATTTTCTTTTACATCATTCATTAAATCTCCCGGGGGTACACAAAGGCTTTCTCTCCTGGCTGTCCTCACAGACTTCTCCGCTTGCCAACTGTTCAGGTGCCCTCTCATCCTCCCATTAACACCCTACTGATCTCACAGCAAAAACCTGCCGAGAATTTGAAAATCCCTTTCTATATTTCTGCAAAATAATCCCTCTCTGCTGTTTCACTGTGCATGACGGGGGCTGTGCTTCACGGGTGCGGTGTGTTACACGCCGTCTGAGAGCAAGAGTGACAGCAAGTGTCACAGGAGATACCATGCTCCCTCACCAAGTTTAACCTTGGATACACCTACGTGGTTGGGACATGCCAGAGCTACTGACACACGAGCTGACTTTTTTTGTACTTATCTTCAAAGGCAAGACATTAACATTCTGACTGTGCATAAAAAAAAGGTTGGCAAATGGTACTTTTCTAGAAATAGCTACATGGAGTGTCTAAGAACACCTCCTCAGTGTTCCATACCTGCTCTCAGTTGCATCTTGTTTGCCCACTAGACAGAAACACAACTGCAGGTACTAAGGAGTCGCATGGGCAGGTAAAATCAAGGTGAGTTGCATTCACTGCCTGTTTTGTATCATCTATAACAGTTTTGGATTAGAACTCAGTTACTAGACTAGTATCCTTTTTGCGTTTGGCAGAATAAGATTACATCACAGTCTTCCCAAAATACACTGAGAATTTACATCAAGCATTTCAGGTATTTTTAGACTGCAGCAGAATACACACTGCAAGACTGTTCACACTCTGTGTCTATCTGTACTTCAAGAAGTTATCTTTGACAATGCTCCCATCACAGATTATAATGAAAGTTTCACTGAACTCAAAAACAAATATATTTGAGAGTCTGGGAGGGAAGCCATGTCTTACAGTCCTTCACACACATCACCCTGAGAAAGTTGCAGCAGCTATCCCAACCCAGTTCAGTTCTGAGCTGCTAAAAATGCTTTCAGTTATCCACACTTCACAGATCTCAGGATCCCATCCTGAAGATGGGTTAACTTCCTCAAATTCTAAAATCTTTCGTATCACACTATAACCCAATTCACTTTCTTCAAAAAACAAACATGCACCTGATAAAATTTAAGCACATGAAACAGATTAAAAGCAAATGGTGAGAAAACAAGGAACTGGGTGATACAGAATAAGGCAGCAACATTACCCACAGAAATACTTCGACATATCTAATTGTTGAAAAAAGTCAATGACAAATTGATTTCAGTTGGGCAGACACACTGCAATATCATGTACCTTATAAAAATATCATCCATTCAATACAAGAATGCAACTGTCTGCCGAACTAGAATATAGGAAAAATAATTTAAGGGGAAAAAACCAAAACTGTCATTCCATAGTGCACAGTAGAGTGAAATTAGGCAATTACATTCGGAAAGGTACATCTCAGAACAGACTTGTTCAATTCAGAGCTCCACATTTCCTTCCATTTCCAATACCACATGTTTGAGAACACATGTACCAAGCTCAGTGGATTAAAGCAAGAAAAAAGCCTTTCAAATGGGGCATTTTTTTTTTTCACCTGTGCTTCACATTCAGTTCGACCGATGGTGATTTAATAGTAGCTTCCTCCGTCTTAACCTCTGCAGGAGCTTGATCCTTTCACCTTCTCGCATCACCTCACAATAAATGTGCCTGTGTTCTTCCTTGTCTTGGAGTAGCCGTGGTATCTGGATCAAATGCTGCTGTAGTCCGAGCCACGGGCAGCAAGAACTGCTGCCGCTTCCCACTCCACTGCAAAGAAGGTAATTGTCCCGAAGAAGCCCACAACCACCATGATCAGGAGCTGCCACTGCAGGAGGAGGTAGTTGCTGTAGAAATACGCAACTGCAGCACAGATGGACTGGCAGAAAAAACACAGCGCAACAAGATTATCAGTGGAAATACCCAGGCTAGTGTTCTACAAGGATTACCAAACCGAGATACACAGCTTAATGTGCAACTCCCCGGTAGGCTTCGGTAGAAGATATATAATAAAGCCTCAACATATGTCTTAATATCATATACAACAGATGTAGTTTTCAGTTATTTAAATAGTTTTCTCTGCAGAAAGCGAACACAGAACTCAAGTGTTTGTAGCATCTCAAGTGCAGTTTTCTGGTATTTGAAAAGTTTATCTAGAAACAACACTGCCCAGGTTTTAAGACAAAATCCAGGAAACTATTTCCAGTTTTACAGCATCACAAACTCTTCTATATCAAAATAGCTACAGGCTTTGACAAGCAGCATTGCTTACTTGCAATCCCCCCTTTTAAAGATAAAATTTTCATTAGAGCCCGTATAAAGAATCTTTATATTCCTTGTCTATCTCAAATTCTTACATATCACTAAGAATGACATAAAAGTGGAGCCAGGCACAAGGGAGGGGGGGAATTTCTGAAGCAAGCAGCTGTCATCTTTTAAACTAGACACACCCTGACCTCTGCTGCCAGCAGGAGCTTGCTGTTGGTGCGACCTTGCATAACAGTTTCAATGCTTTGCACCACCTTTCCCCACCGACGCCTCCGATCAACAGATCTTGTTTGGTGCTGAACTCTCCAGGCCAAGGTTAATGCCTGTGAGTCATCTACCCAAAAATACAGCAGCTGTATTCATATTGTATGAAGGCTCCATCAAGTCTCCAGCTAGCATAGATACATTTGGTTTGGCATTCGGACAACTTAAGGGCAGATAAACCTTACTTAGTTCTTCTGCCTGCATACCCACCTGATAACTGCCAGCGATCCAGTACAACACCCACAAACTCTTCAACTACTATTTGCACAACTTGTTTTCTTTTAACTCACACCCCTCTGTCAAAGACTTGAGTAAATAAATTCAGTGAATTATTATTTCACTAAAATCCAGGTCTGGTTAACTGTACTAGCCATTTGACATTAAACTACAATTCCCAACACTTGGAAACTCCCTCAAATTTGTAAGTAATAGCAGTTCAATTATATAATCACACCAAGCTACACAATCAAGCTACTCCTACCTAAAACCTTTTTTCTCTCCTGTGAAAGATAAAAACCCAGACTGAAATCCTTTGCAGAAACAACATCATTTTTCTCAGCTCATTAAAAACCCCAGCCCAGTATTTCAGTAACATTCCAACAGTCATACTTTCAAAAGGCTGTGTCATGTAATACCTGAACAAACTTAAAGATGGCAAAGGCAGGAGCGCTGTCTTCTGCGTACAGGAATCCTAAAATGCTGAGGAGCTGGGTGTTAAAGCAGCTGTCCCCCAGGCCCAGCAGAAAGCTGCAGAATATGGCCACTTCTTTGCTGAAGGAGAAAGGGAATCAAATTCAAAAGCCATCCGTTCAAACAGCTGACACATCTATAAACTATTTTTGGCAGACTTATTTGGAAAGTGAGAATGGAAGAAAGTTATCAAACTTTAAATTTCCCTGGAAAAGAAACTGGGAACACTTGGCAAAAAGAATACTTTCCTCAGATTGTAATTTATTGAATGCTAAGACCACTGTTACCTGCAGTCAATTCTACACTGAATTAGAACTGCTAGAAAAACTCATTTTGCTGCTTGGAGCCACAAAACCCACAAGGCAGTGATTAAAAGCTGAGATACACATGGGGAGTTCATAAAAACTGCAGGAATATTGGAGAAATACCAATTCATCTTGCAGGAAAATACTCCAGTTAAAGAACAGCCACCAGCACAGGCACAAACGCTTATAATTGCAAGTTAGCAGCTGTGCCTGCACAAACTGACTATACTATATTTTCACACAAATTGGCAAAAAACACACCCCAAAAGAAAGTTGCAATGATGAGATAAGAAAGCTCCTTATATTCTTCCCCTCACGCTGAGCAGTGTAAGAGACAGGCACAGCACGGCTCCAGTCAGACCACGGGGACACTTTGACAACGAGCATCCAAAGACTTGGGAAACCAGTGCAAGAGCACAAGGCTGCTGCTCCCTGCTCCAGTAAAACTGAGCCCAACACTGGTTTAAAATCAGCTGAATTCCTGACATCTCGTACAATAGTTTCTGGTCTCGCTGTTGTACGAGATGTCAGGAATGTCAGTTCTCAGTGACAGAACTGCTGCCAAATATCCTCACGCTTTTTATTCTTATGCCATTGAAGTCCTAAGTTGGGTGCACACTGGTGGAATATCTACCTTGAATAAAAACAGAATTCCTGAAAGCCTTTTCTACAGAGTTAGTCACCACACAGACAAGCAGCTTTGAGGAGTTCTCTGTTACAGGAATAAGCTCTTTACAGACATCTTGAGTTACACCAGTAAAGGAAAAAGTTTACTTACCTTGGAATCATATAAGCCACATGATCTGTCCCTTCCATAGGAGCAATAGGGGCATCATTTGGCATGTTGAAAAAAATTAAATAAAAGGCTACGAAATGGACAACGATGCCTAGCATCACAACAGGGTTCCTGCCAAAGCGATTATTCTTGCTCAATAAACCAAAGAGACCTCCACCTGCACGAGTGCAAAAGATCGGAACATTAAATCAGAACTGAAGATGCGAAGAACAGAACCAAACTCAAACCAGTGCAAAAAAAACCAGCTGAAAACTCAGATTATCAACTTCCTCCTAACTGAAAGATTGACAGACATGAAAACAGCCCCAAGGAGTTTGCCAGATGTGCCAGACGACGTAACCTTTGGGTTGCTGGAGATGCCTGGGACACAGGGGCAGGAGATTTATCAGACTATTGCCAGTGAAGACACTTCACCTTTTTGCAAGTATTTTCCCAGCAGCCCCTGATTCCTCCAGCATTGCAACTGTACCAACTTGTGCTTAGCTCTTAACTGCAAAAGCGTGCATCTCTGGATCCAAGCTGCTGGTGAATCAACACAGCGTTGGGGTCTGTGTGGTTGGTTTAAATACTGCAGCACTTGAGTTAAAGCAAAAAAATTCACTTAATGAACATGCCCTGTATTCAATTTTATTCAAATATCAGATCTCATTAACACAAGCTAACTTTTTAAAATAAAGACATTTTTAGTGTAATACTTTAATAAATTTGAAATACTTATGACATCACTTAAGAAATAAAAATGTAAACAGAATACTATTTAAAAAACAGTATCAAAATGCTGAAAGGTGCCCAATAACACTGTAGCCTAGTGTTTCTCTCCCTCTAAGTCTCACTAATCCAAAAAGAACGTAAAATCTTAGGACTCAGTCACCAGTGTTGCCCATCCTAGTCTGCATTCACTTTAGATGGCATATTGTATAATTCACAGTGGAACAAGGAACCACACTCACGATTCTATTTCTTCTATCTCATTTTTTGTTTATGTAATCATTGCTGGGAGCTTGGAAGACACTATTCAGTTAAACACAAAAACCATTTTGAGCAACTACATCTTAATCCTTTTTTGTCTATAAGGTCGTAAATTTAGACTCACCTAAAATTTCTCCAACACCAATAAAAATACCGGAGAGACCAATAAGGCTTTTCTCTTCACTGCCAAACCTATTCACAGCACCAATACATGTCCCATATACTCCAGAAAAGAATGTTAATTCCAAACCTTTGAAAGAAATCAAACAAAACTGACAGATGAACTATTATTAAAGTTATTGCAATAATCTTTATGTCTAAGGCTGTTTTTTCCCCTAAAGTACCTCTCAAATACATATATTTACATAAGGTATGCAGAACAAACAATTAGGGAATTTTAAACTATGCAATGATACTCTCCTATGCCAGTTTACAAAAACTAGAGCAGAAAAAGCAGTGTCACTAATCAGTGTCACAGGCACTTCGGTTCAGTACTGCTTCTGTTGACGTCATGTCTGCATATAGTTTATATTTCTGCTTTTCAGAAACTGGACTTCCACATGTGAGCTTTCTTCCCCCCAAGTTATGGCATTCCTAAGAAAGACTCCCTGAACCCTCAAATACCAAAAAAGCTAAGGTTTCCTAAAACAGACTGCTACTTTTGTATACATGAACTAAAACTGAGAAAGAACAACAGCTGTTTGTTTAAAACTTTTCTTTCTACTGCCGTTACTGTGAGCAAAGGTAACACAGGCAAGTCAACTAGCATAACTATAAGAACCAGTATAAAAACACCAGTTCCTTAATAGAAAGTCTATTAAAACAATGCAAAGTGTTATGCCTAAACAAAGAAAACCAGTTTAAAACTAGAACTGTTTCTAATTTACCTCCTTTGCCTTTTGCTGCTGCAGAAATACAGTACACCACATCCTGGTCCACAAGCAGCAGGCTGCCTAACATGGCGTATGACCTGCACAGCCTCAAAAAGGGGTGAACTTTGAGCAGTCTTATTGATCAGACCACCAGTTTCAGAAACAAAAGCTTTTGTTGGCCTTATTGCAACCCAACAGAACGCTGTGTGACAAGTCTAAGCGTACACAGCGTTACCGCCAGGACACAGCTAAGACATGAAGAAAACTCAGTGTCTAAACTAGGACCTTTTGAAGAAAGTTTTATGGACTTGTTTTGACCAGACCATGGAGAACAGAAATCCCCAAATCTGCAGAAGAGAAGTAAAAGAACAGAGTGACTGACTTACACTAACTAGTACATAATTATTAACAACGGCAGTGTCCACCGTAGCCGATTTCTGTGCAAGCACCGCGGACACCCTGCGTTGTGCTTGATTTGCAGAACGCCACCAAGCACCCGGGGCAGAGCAAGCCCGAATAAATAAGCAACCTCTCTCCTGTGTGTATTGATTTATGGCACACCGGGCAAGAATCCCCTTTTCCAGACAACATTATGGGATTTTGTGTTTTCCCACACAAAGTGGCAATATTGACCACGACCACCAGATGGCAGCAGCTGCTTTTTCCAAGCTGGACTGATATTTTTTTTTTTCTGCTACCAGGAAGACCAAATTCCAGATTAATGAGGCAAAACCTGACTGTCTCCCTTCCCTTGTTATCTTGTTTCACATTCCCACTGCACTAAACTTCTAGAG